TACTATCCTTTCGGATTTGGATTGGACAAAATTTTCATGTAGTCCAAGTTTGTTAAGTGGGTCTTACCTAATTGCTTAATTAATTATATTTGTTAGGGTTTAAGTGTCTAAGACCGAATTTAGGAGTGCTTATTTGAAAAATAAGTGTTTATTCTAATAAGCGCTCATGAGGTGTATATGGAATTGAGGGTTTATTTGCTAGGATCCATTTGCTTTGCAGTCAAAATTGAAATTGAAATCTTTTGAAATAGGAATCAGAATGGTTTATTCCCATAGTCTGTTTGGTTCAGATAGAAATGTGAATAAAAATTGGATTCAGCAAGAATGAGATTTCATTCCCAAGGGAGGGGTAGGGAATGTTCATTCCCTCAAATGGGGTTTTATTTCAAACAGGGGTAGTATATGTATTTTCAAACTGATGTGGTAGGCCAAAATAGACCATAAAGGAAATAAGTACTTATTAAATAAGCACTTAAAAATAAGCTCAAATTTTAGACTTCTCAAATAAGTGCTTATTCTAAGTAGTAAGCACTTATTCGAACTTATTTCCTAAACACAAATAAGTACTTATTGGTGTAGTCCCAACCCAAAATAAGTATTTATTTGAATAAGCACTCCCAAACTTAGCTTAAGATCTAGCTGAGATAAGCTCTTTTTAAGTATTCATTTTGATTACTGGATGATTAATCATGGGGTGTTCTATGATGTGAATTTTTTTTTCACTTGTTTATAAATTGCCACATCAGCAAAATAAAGAAGCATGTTCTCTTTGTTTTTGTTTGGAAAAGTGAAAGTAAGATGGTTTTGTTTTCAAAAACAAGTTATATTTTTAAGACCATCAAATTTATGTTTTCTAAAACAAAAACAAATATTCACTCTTTAAATATTTGAAAACAAAAAATCCATACACAACCAAGAAAATGTTTTTATTTTTTGTTTTGAAAACAATTTATTTTCATACCAAATGGTTTTGATTTGATTTTGGAACTGGCAACAAGGAAAACAATTTAGATTGGTGAACACCAGCTACATATAATGAAAAATGTGTACTTAATGTTTATGTTTGTGTAGTCATTGGATATTGGAAGTTAGTTAATTTGCTCATTTAATTTAATCTCTAGGATGTAAGAAATCAGCTAAAACCATGTAGACCATTGAGAAGGATGGATGAAAAAAAGGAGAGGGCATATTTAATGAAATTAAGGGTTTGATTTGTACTACTAAGTTATTTGATTCTTACTAATGAAGAGTCATTTAATAATAGTATGTGTAAAGGCTAGTGAAGGCACCCTTGTGGCAAAATCAAAAGCTTTAAATAATGGGAAAACATGTAGGCTGATATATTTACTCCCATAATCCCATGTTGAAACTACTTTGAAAAAAAAATCGAGAAAATTTAGGTGGCAATTGTTTTGTTTTGAAAAAAAAATATGCATATCGACAATAAACACCTTATTAAGAGTTAAATAACCTTTTAGCAATTTACAATTTTTAAAAATATAATTTATACAATTGGTTAAAAAAGCTCATAATTTATATTATAGATGTGTCCAAATATTTTGAATAAAATTTATTTATTTTTTATATTTTAATTATTTTTATAATTTTTATTTAATTATGATATCATGGATTAACCCATTTGATTTAAATGATTGAACCACTAACCTGTTACCTAGATAGGAAAAATAGTTGTATTCATATTCATATCCAAGTTCCATTGAGTGATGGGGTTGTTTATGATACCATGGTTTACAAAACCGGACACCTGATCAGTTTCGTTTTCTCCAAAAACTGGATTTCCCCCCAATACTGTTGATTTTGGTCAACAAACTGCTAAATCGGGCAATTAATCGTTCGAACGATTTTGATCGTTTTTTGTTTTTATTTTATTTTTCTGTCAGAATGGGCCGAGCGTTCAGTTCGAACAGTCGGACCGTTCGACCCGGTAACCAAACCCCTGACTGGTTCGGTTTTAAAAACCATGTATGATACAGCTGTTCTATTAAATACAATATAACCCTACTGTGCTACTTATTGAACACGAAGAAGAAGAAAAATACAGAAAAAAAAAAAAAAAAAAAAAAACAGGGCAATGGCTCATGAACCTATCTCTGTTGTTACACTGTAAGGCTATGTTGGATTTGACAGAAAATAAGAGAGAAAAAGAGAGTTAGGAGAAAGTGTTTATTTCTATGATATCCTATCAAACCAAACTTTTAGCCAAAGAGAAGAAATATTAGTGCTCATCAATCAATCAAACAAACAAAGGTAGAGAAAATAATGTGACCTCCTGCTAATGTTGAGAGGTGAGGCAACTTTGACACCAATTGATGTGGGCCCCTCTGGGACCAATTAAATTGCCACGTAGGACAATCTCAGGGTCGTTTGGGGAAGCCCACGTAGGACAAATGGACAACCTCAGTTCTCAGGTCGTTCCTTTAAAAATTGTATTCTTTCAGGCAATTGTACTCAGTGGGGGTGTACAAATTGGGGATCCCGACGCAAAACATCTTAGATGGAACATTGGGACTACAGAGATATCATACATAGATCATTGTGCAAAGCAATTGCATAATGGTCACGGCTCTGATTGCTGTACAAATTCCTATTAATGTAGTGTTTCACACTTTTGCTGGCCTCACGGCTCACGTGCGTGTACAAGTAATAAGTAATAATAAAGCGGGGGAAAGACGATTGTGCCCTTTTTTGTACAAGTACTAATAATAACACAGAGGAAGGTCAAAAAGTGGTGGAATGACGATTGTGCCCTTTTATCCTAACACTCCAATTAGGTTAACATCACTGTTGGTCGGACGGCTGATGCCCATCGAAGCTCACTGACTATTAAAAAAAAAAAAAAAAAAACCGTTGGCTTTAGAATAACTTTGTTTCAGTGCCCAGTCCCCCATATATTTTGTAAATAATGTTGGTGAAATAGATGAAGTGCAGCAGCAGCATCAAACACCATGATTGGGCTGGACCGGGCTGGCTGCAGCCTGCAGAAAATGATAAAGGGCTCAAATCTCAATGACGCAAATTGGGCCCACCTGTTTCCTTGCACTAACAACTTGATGTGGTCCCGGTCAAATCTTGGATGGGGTACATGACTTTTGGTGGGTAGGCGGTAGGCCAATCGTTCATCAGATGAGATTATTGGCGTTCTGATTTTCTATGCTTTGTCGCATCCGATAGAGTAGTCGTGATTGCTAAAGTAATTATGATGAACGGTACATAAACATCCTGGACGATCAGCTTCATCAATACCGTTGACTTTTGATTTAAGCAACCCGCGAGAGAGAGAGAGAGAGAGGTGAAGGTGGTGGAGGCGGGCGTGATGAGGACGGATTTCTCGTTATATAGAGATTTAGAGATGAGAGATGTAGATGTGTAGAGATAGATGTAGAGAGAAGTAGGTGGTTGCTTGTCGGCGACAGGAAGATGGGCCCACGAAACAAATGATGTTGGGTGAACAATCCAGGTCCAGGTCCAGATCCAGGTCCAGGTCCATCTGGTGGAGTGCGCTTGCAATTTGCATGTGGTTGACGTCGTAGGCATCATAATAGTTGAACACGTGGTTGCTGATTGATTGAAGTCTTGATTGGAGTTTGACTGTCATATGGGGGGCCTACCCCACCCATACCGTCATATCGGGCCTACTCAACTCAACGCGTGTGTGTGAGTTGGTTCTTATACGGGTCTTAAATTAAATAAGAAGAAAAAAGATTAAAGAAAGAGGATGGGGTATCGTTAATATTTTGTAAACGAGTAAAAATTGTATGATTCATCATCTCTTGAGTGGGAAGTTGGTGCCGTAGCATAAGTCTTGCCACGTGGAATCTCTTGTCTTTTCTGATCCCTGATTTCAATCTTTTTTACTTTCTGACAGCTGCTGAATGCTGATCAGTGATGAGCCGACCGACGGGTCAAAATTGACCTGCTCGTTTCAAATTTCAAAATGCCGAGCATACAGATTCTTTCACTTCACTTGTATGACTTTACAATTACGAATCCATCTTAAACAGTTTAACACCACTCATCCTGATTCTGTGGGGGGGACAAGGGACAACTGAAATTCCATTCTTGTGGTGCAGGGTACATTTATAAGCTCTTCACGAAAATATAAATTTGTATTTGTAGATGCTTGGCATAGTGATTGATAGAGCTAAAGCCGGAATGCATCTGGACTTCTGGCCCTGATCATTGTGACTGTGATGTGTGGAGTGTCTGGTCACAGGCACAAGTCTATCCTATCCTGATTAGATTCCACCCTCTTGTGGATTGATTGTCTGCAGATCCATTTCAATTGAGGGGTGGCAATTGAATTGGCAAAGAGCACAACCAAATCATTTGCAGAAATTTGGTGGAGCGCTCAAGTCAATTTCATAAAGAATCAAATTTACGGTAAAGTCACTTTCATCTTTCTTATGCTTTCTTCAGAGAACTTCTCTGTTGCGGATTGCACAAGGCTAAATGAAAATGCTACCTACACAGGTTTTGTGAGAAAAAGCTGCTATGGTGAACCTGGTGTGATTCATTTACACAACCAATATTGTTATCATCCAAATAAAATTAAGACTTAAAATCCAGAAGCGAGAAAGTTGACCAAGAAATATTCATATTCGTTGGCCAGAGACAATGACCAAGACAAATTCCAAGCCCAGCCCAGTAACTCTAGCTTTCCGTTTCTTTGTTTTCTGCACTTTCAACAACCATAACGTCACCCACGGGATGACCTAGAGATCAAGGAGTGTTCCTTCTGAAATGACTCAAAAATACTGCAAGCATTGTTGATTTGTTGGAACTTGGAAAAGTAGAAGGGTACACTGAAGACGTGCTATCAACCTTTCATCTATAATTTTCTATACAATACAAATCTAAGAAATTCAGTACCTGAAAATGGGGCCATTAGATCCATTATCTAATATGAAGAGTAAAAATGAAATGAAGGCGCTCTTTATTGTCCCGCGGGAGGGGGGGAGGGTCATTAGTCAATAATTAGATTCAGAGATAATGTAATGTAGTCAGATATATTTGATGAGCAAAACGACTGCTGATTTCTTTCCATTAAACCAGCAAAATGTATACATTACATACAGCTTAAAACTCTTATTTTCCCCTCAACTCAAACCTTAATAAAATGTTTGAGTTGTTCTTTCCCTAGTGGATCTTCTTAATGATATACCATATTTTGAACCGAAGGGGTTAGCCAACCCAAATCGCTTCCGGTCAGTCTCCCTACAACTACAACTATCAAGATTATTGCTACTATTACTACGGGTTGTTGACTTTCTACAGGGTTTAGTTGTAATAGAATTCTGCAGGGGAGGATTCTCCGCTGTGCTGCTTTCTTCAGATTGCCTTATACGTGCTTCATCTGCATCTAGCACTGAACCTGTGTTACAAGTTCTATATTCACTTGTCTCGGGGGAATTCAATGAATGCCTCTTTGAGACCGATAGTGGTGAAAATCTTGAGCAGAGAGGGGAGGAAGAACCATCGGAATCCGACGAAACTCTCAAAGGACTGCTCCATTCGCGACATGCATCTCCAAAAAAGTAATCAGAGAAATCCTCTGTACTAGTAGAGTCTCTGGTGCTCTCAGTGCTGCAGGAAGCTTCATCTGAACAGCTGAAAAGGGACGAGTTATCACTGGATAAATGGTGAAACCTCCCATCATCTGAATCAAAAGATTCATAGTTCACAGAACCATTTAAGGTTATCCGATAGGGATAGTCTTCAGGCTTCCAATGTGCCCCAGACGGGCTGCCATTTGGAGCCACGTTGGGCCTGGAATTGCACGTAGCACTCCTTCCACCATGGTTGGAAGAAATAGCTTCCGAAAATCTGCTTCTCCTGATTTTGCCATCATGGGACATTGAGTTCCTTACCCAACTTGGGGCCCGTGGTGAGCACCTGGACATTAGACAATTAAACATGTTTACATCACAGGAATCAGAAGCAAACCAGCATATGGAGCGAGAATCTGTCTTGTTACCTTGCATAAAGGAGCATATATGCCCCTTTCGATAATACCTTCTCAAGCTCAACAGGTTCTACCTAACATCCATGACCCACCACCATTGTCAAAAACAATACATTCAAAACTATTACAGTTTTAAGAACAATGCATATTAATCACAGGAAAAGTGCTTCTTAGAATTTAGAGTATGGACTATGGACATTGTCACATACTGGTATCCCAGTTGGACCATAGTCACTTGCAACATATCTGATTTTCAAACTAGTTCCGTTCAAACCACTTTTGCAGAACTGTTTACAATAATTTGGCCAGCCAATGGAAAGAACAGAGCCTAATAATAGGGATTCCAACTTATTGAGACATCTAAAAAATATACCTAATAATATGTTAGCGATTTTAAACAAACCTAATAACTTAATATTTACACAATAATTGTACATTTTTATCAGAAAGAAAGATATTGAATAAGAAATGAATCTATAACAATAAATGTTGTATTTTGGGAACTGAATTTTTTTTACTGAGTTTAACTAAAACCTACAAAAGAATGCCTTCTATTACCTGCATATACTTATCCCTACTTGCAAATCGTCTACCATGTAACACATATCTACAATACTTATAAATCATACACGTAAAAAACATCTCCCAAGAACTCTATGCATAAGCCATTAGCAAACCAATGAACATCCTACCCCTAGAAAACACAGTTCATTCAAGGATTTATAAAATTCTAACCAACAACATAGCCTATGAATCATTTATCAAAAAAAAAAAAAAAACATAGCCTATGAATCAGGTAATTATGAGTCGGATATTGCACACAGAAGAATGAAGGAGCCAGCATCCAACATGTCCCACCTTTCAGCCTAAAGGTAGATGGTTCAAAGTATATTGAACACAGTAGAAATGAGAGAACCAGCATAAGACCAGGTCCCATCCCTCAGACCTAAAAGCAGATAATCAATCTTTTTTTTTTTTTGTGGGGGGGTAAAGAGAAAACCCATTAAAAGGAGTAAAGGAGCAAACAAACAAGAAACCAACCACCTGAAGATTCAGAAGGACTCCAAATCCATGACCTCCCTCAACCAACTATGACAAACCTCTAGATGCCAAAGAATGAGCTATTTCTAGATGCACTACAAGGAATCTGAATTGCAAATCAGCTAAATATGGAAAATTAATAATTGAAGGAGATTCTAAGGTGGTGATAGGGAAGGGTGGCTGCAAGACCCAGACTGTCATATGGTGCTAAAGGGATAAAATCAATAAATTTAAATGGTATACAAGAAGCACGAATATAAGAGTACAGTGGGTCAGGAGATTAGCATATACTATGGCTGATTGGTTAGCCAAACAAGGGACAAATGGGGATATGTTACACTGGGCTCAGTTGTAATCGGCTTCCTTGTTTAGTTTGTTTTTACCATTGTTATGGAAGAGGTTGCAAATCACACCTCTCCAAGAGTTGCTTGTACTGATTTTATTCTTCTGACATATTTAATGCATTAATCATTTGTCAAAAATAAAGTATGAGCTACCATATAGCCAGACCTATGGATATGTCTAAAGCAGATAATCAATCACTACCAATATTTGAACCATCTGGTCTCTATGCTTTCTCCTAGAGGGTTCAGCACATTTTCTTCTAAAGAAAGTCAATACACCAGATGGTCAGAACTGTCCAACAGGATTTATTTTCATGCAAGGATGATCTCCATATTGGATGCATCCTCTATATTTATTAACACCTTGAAGACTACATGCAAATTGGTTTTTAAGGTCCATTAAACTGGTGCATGACATTTCACAGTAGATGATCCGAGACCACAAGGGGAATGCAGAACCCAAAATGAAGCATGTCTTATAGTTTCTTTTCTTTTATTAGTGGATCAGCAATAACAATCAAGGAGAGCATCATTAATTTGTCAGAAAATGGGAATCCACACAAGCTGCTTAAATGCAAAACATGTTGTGAGGATATAGATTAATGGTAAATAGGGAACATACTGTGCTGTCATCAATCTTGTACCACTTTTCCTGAAAATTCTTAATGTAGCACACATAATGACCAGAGAATGCAGCATTCATAACATCCAAGTGAACCACCACTGCATAAAGTGTGTATACAGGAGATTTGTCGTTTGTTGTACTCATATATGGAGCCAGATCAAGGACCCTTGGGAACCGTACCACCTTATTGAGCTTCCCAAATTTACCAGACTGTAAAGCAGAGATTGAAGCAAGTGTTAAGAAGCCAAAAATAACAACCAGAACAGAGAACCATTTTGCACTTTTAAGGATTACCTGAAAACGTTTCAAGGCAATTGTAAGGACATTAGGAGCTTCCGACACTGTCAATTTCTTTTTAGCCTTCTCATACGATTTGCATCTGATTAGAGAAAAAGAGCATTTAAAAAGTAGTCTCAAAAGAGCAGCTACTAACCGCAAAACTGCAATAAGTACAGCTGTATTGACTAGGTCATTATATAAATATATAGACAATTGCAGCAGCTTGCTAAAATTCCTAAAGATGGACAGATGAAAATCAAGCATCACCTTGTAAACTCTGACTTCAATGGTTGTACCACATTAATTTGATTTCTTTTTAATAAGAAAACAGTAAATTGAGATTTTTCAAGAGAATTTAGGTACCAGGGTAGAAAGATATAGCACTGTGCTGACTACTCTCATTTTCCTCAATAAATTGTTCTATTCCCTTCTGACTCCATTTCTTGCTAAAATCAACCAAGCACATAAAGTGCTTCTTGCCCTAAAATCAACCAGTTTATGGACCACTTGGTAGTTTCCTTTAACTTGTAATCCTATCCAGATAGTTGCTAAGGTAAGTTTTAAACCTTGCAGTAGAGCTAACAGCCCCACTTTGAGTGAATTAACACATTATTTTATGGCTATTCCAGATTGCAATAACAATAAATTTGGCTACAATTTGTAGCTTAAGCAGTTGATATATATCATCGTAGTCATGTTACAATTCCCAAAGAGAAGCAGGGATATAACAAATGCAGTACTGGTAACAGCTTCACTTTGAGTGAATTACCACATTAGTTTATGGCTGTACCAGATGGTAATAGAAATTGGCTACAATTTATAGCTTAAGCAGTTGTTACATGTCTTTTCAGTCATGCTAGACTTCCCAAAGGGGAGCAAGGATATAACAAACTAAGACTACAACCTTACTGAAAACAAATAATGCCAAATTTTTCAGTCAAGAGAATTAAAGCAAAATAGCAAATAAACCTACCTCTCACATTGGTATTTGTTTTCTCCATCCAAGATCTCAGTAGCTGTAAATTTTTTAAGTGCCTCTTCCAGGGTTCCAATGTCACCATCTATCTCAACAGTGAGATCCATCATGCGTTCATTACGTTCAGATTTTCCTTGACACTTCATGCACTTTATCTGCATATCCCAATCTTGACTGGTGAACTTATACAATGTTTTGCCCACAGACACAAAAGAAGTACCAGGACTACCCCTCTCCCTCCTAGAGAGAGAGAGAGAGAGAGAGAGAATCATGGACATTCATCATTTGTTAGTTGAATGGTTGCATGCCATTAAATAATTCAAGGGCATTAACTGGCAGCATTCCCTTTGTGAGGGATTCATCTTATCCTTTCTATAATTTCCAACACCTCATTAATATATGATGAATGTTGCTTGAGCAATGCTAGCAATACAAGTTTTTCTTTCTTGTGTAGGATATTAGTGTGTACATACATCACACATCGAAAACATAGTGTCAATCTAATTGAGCCGCAGTTGCAGGTACCATGCATGACTAACACAATGCTCCAAATGTATTATGCATGATGCATGTTGAGTGGGCCGACGTGTGTTTAGTTTATTTCCTTTTAAATTAAGATGTTGTTGGGCCTTGGGCCCATTAGTCTTTATTTCTTAAAGAGTTGTAATTACTTAGGTTGAGTTGCCGCCCTACTTAGGGCATCTTTGTAATATCTCATACTTAAGTTAATTATAAATAGAATGAGGGGCTGGCGGCTAGGGTGATGATAATCTATCCTAGTCGACCTTCTTCTCTTTTCTCCCCTTTCCTTGTCTCTTGCTGAAATCCCCAACTTTCTACTCTTCCTTTCACAAGAAGCTTGGCCGAAATCAGCACATAAGGTTTTCTACTATGCATTTATGCCCACTACGATAATAAAAACTTGCATCACTAGCACTGCTCATGTTTTCTGTTACAGAAATCAGAATATGTCAAACATATAAAAAGGAAAGTTATTAGTTTCATAATATATCAATATACTATCTCCCAGAGGCCACAAGGTACCTTAGACCGAAGATAACCCCCAAATATCAGGCTCATGAGAGTTGTTTCTTCTGCATAAGGGCCCTCCACATTTGAACCAGCTTCCTTTAGGAAAACAGATTGCATTGCATCAATGGAATACCTGCCAAAGTAGTTCTTATATACATTTAAGAGAAGACATAAAACCATAATCATGTAAACTCAAATAATCAAACACTGAAACACACTCACCTTAAAAATTCATGGGCATCTTCTTCTCTCCCTTGACCAAGATGACTACCAATATTTTGTAGTTGGGAAAGAATACGGATTGGAGACAATTGAGACTTCCGTTCCCTTGCTTTCATAATTAGATCTTCAAATTCACAAGTGAAACACCACTCTTTCTTTGGGCCTGATAGAGCACAAAAAGGAATGTCACAAAATCACAAAGTTGTAAGACAAAGAATCCTAGGAAACAAAATAAGATACAGATCCAAGGACATGAAGAGCAGGAAGGAACGTGCATGTTTTGGAATGGAGTCCTTGAAGAAGATAAGATGTAAGAGGCCGAGTAAAAGCCAGGCACTGAAGCACAGCATTTGCATAGCAGCTGCAGAAGGTTAAAAAAATAAAGAGATCAAAAAATTGAAAAACAGGCTTCCAACTAAAGAGAAAAATGAATGTTCTTTTTTTTATAAGAGAAAATTTAGTACTTCTGCTGATGATATCATAGCATTATAAAAAACAAATAAACTTCAGCAATGAGCATTGCAAATACATTTGTAAAACCTGCAGTATCTCCTTTTTAAGGTGTTGGGAGGCCAAAAAAGAGATGATGTAAATACCCACATATTTACAAAGCATTTTAAGGGACATCTAGTAATAATAGAGATTAAATACCTTCCACTAACGCAAATCCACATATAGGTGTTAGTTTAGAATGGATATTTGATAATAAAAGTATCAAGGAATAATGTACCATAAGAAGCATTTGATAGCAAGTAAATAGATGAGGTATATCAGAAAATCCCAGGTGAATACTTCTATGTGATGTAAATAAATACCCAAAACATCATGGATTGAATCAATAACAAATTAGAAATGTAACATCATAACAAGGGCCAGTGGCATCACTCAAGAGATCTGTGTTGAGGAAGGATCCCCATTGTTGGTGGCTCCTATTGTGATTGTGATGCCAGTTGATGCACAGTCACAAGCATCTGCTGACTCCACTAGCCCCTGTCTAAAATGAGTTGCTGATGGTAGAAAGTGTTACTCGGGCTAGTGGAGAATAGTAGTCAGGCTGAGGTGGCTTTTGGATCAGTGCCAGCAACAGCGAAGGAGATTCAATTTGTGAGTTACCGCTGTTCATCATGCTTGGCCATGATGAGGATCTAAATGTTGGGCTGTCATCAACAGCCTTGATGGGAGGTGTTTAAAGGTTGGAAGTGGAGTACAAAGGTACAGAGGAAGTGGATTGGAAGGAACGAAGGATGCAGGGAAGGAGATTGTGAGGTTGATGAAGACGTTGATGAATGAAGTTCACCAGGTTGGTAAGTCATTTCTATTGAAAAAGGTAGTTAAGCATGAGGTGAGTGCAACGTTGCTTGGGTTACCCTCTTTTCAGTGGTGGGAAAGAGAGTGAGCTGGAAAGCGCGGGAGTGGATTTAAAAGAGGGGAGTGAGGTGGAGGTGGACACTGAGGGGGAAATTCCAAAGGAAGTAGAGGAGAGAAGAGGGTGGAGACTGAGAAGCTGGTGGAGAAACAGGTGGAAGTGGGCAAGTCACTTGGCCTGTTCATTTTGGGAGGGGAGAGGGTGGTTAGGAAAGTAATAGAACAGTTTGAAAGAAACAGAAGGGAAGAAAAAATAAGAAAAAAACAATTAGGGAGGGAAGAGAGGAGTTGGAGGGAGGAGAAGAGAGAAAATAATTGAGTTGTAGAAGAGTGAAAGGGTTGGTGGAAGAAAGTTACAGGGGATAATAAAAGGGGAAGACAAAAATGAAGCTGATTTCCTGGTCTGTTAGGAGTTTTCGAGATTGTAGAAGAAGGATGCTAGTAAGGAATCGAGGAATCTATGAAGACAAGGAATGGATGCTGGACAACTAGGTCGGCAGTGAGCAAATCTACTATAGTTTTGGCCGTGATATTGGCTGAGGCATCTCATCTGCTGGGAGATGTTCTAGGAGATAGATTTTGGAGGTGGTGGGGTTACAAATCCATGAGATGGCGATTTGGAATTATATTTCTTTTTGTTCTATTTCTGTTATCAGGTGTTGCCTCAACACCTATCATGGATGTACTACTTTTTGTTATTAATGAATTTTCTTTTTTACTTATCAAATAAAAATGATTTTGTTGAGGCCACTCTAAAAAGTTGAGAGAAGAGGAAGTCCATTGTTTACGTAAGGATACCAACAAGTCATTTATTAATTAAAAAAAGATATCGGCAAGACATTTGTGCTGACAGATCCAGGGGATGTGCTTGAGGAAGTTCAGAATCTTCTTCATAGACCCTAGAAGAAATTGAGAACATGAGCTGATTTCTGTCATTCAAACTCCCACCAAACTAAGTCCCAAGAATGATTTTGGTTTCAGTGCTTTTCAGGAATAAAAAACCATGAGTGACATTCTTCAACATGGACGGATTCTCAGTTTGTCAAATGGATCTTACACATGGCATCAGCTAACAAGTGATCTTGGACTCATAGACTGAAACCAGCTGCCCAAGTCAAAAAATTGCATCTCAAAAGAGGAAGAATATTCCATTTTAAAAATCAAGATGATTTCAAATTCGATTTCACAATCATATATTAGAGAATGGGTTTTCAGTGGTTATGAATAACTATGAGGTGAGAAACCACTGAAATCAAATTCATTCATGTATAAACCCAGTGATAATTGTGAAAGATCAGTCAAAGAACCAAGGTGTACTAGTGGTGGTACTGAAAAGAGTTGGCTTGAAAAGAATCAATGCATAGCAGTAGTGGTGCAAAAAGTCTGCTTAGGAGTTGTTTTGATAAAGTGATAGTGGTGGATTTTCTGCAGTCCAGTGTTTAACTCTTGTGTCGTGCAACTCCCAGGTTCTGTCTGTTCATTGATTCTGAGTTTTAATAACCAGGGAGGTGAGAAAGGGATCAGTAATCAATGTTAATGAAGCTTTCCAAAATGATGGAAATAGAGGGAAGTAGGTAGTTAAGGGATTTGATGATATGGAAGAGCAAAGATATTTTTTTTTATCAATAACAGAATGCTTTATTAGATTATAAAAATTGTGAAACTTTGAGTACAAGAGAGGGGAGGTAAAATATCTTAACTCCCCCACAACAGAGAACAAGAAAGAAAACTAAAAAGTGGCCCAAAACAAAGAAATTGGAAGAGCAAAGATATTCATAAATGGGACTGCTGAATTAATGAGATTGTGACTGTATAGGTTGGTGAGACTGGTTTTTCTTTTAAGCAAGATCAACATTTTTGGTTTTTGCTGTGGTTGTTGCCCTTTTAGTAAGAGGGAGTTGACCAAGGAAAAGAGTTAGAAGACTCTTAAAAATTGAAATCTGTACAAGGGCAAGGATGCAGTTTAAATTTAATGAAATCAAGGAAATCTTATCTTACGTGTCTTGTCATTCTAGATGGATTCCTAGAGAGCTGAATAGAGTGGCCAATGATTTGGCTAAATCTGGGGTGGGTAGGGTTTTTTTGCATAGTGACTCCTCAATGCCTCTGTAAATCCTAGGAGGTTTTCTTTTTTGGCTTTCAGTTTGGCTGGGCTTACATGGACATCTCATCATCTACATCCTATCTCTTTTTTTTCAATGAAAAATATCCTTTTTCTCAAAAACAAATGCAGCTTAAATTTAAAGTTGATGTCATCTCTTGTTTGGTTCATTTTCTGGGTGGCTTTCTTTGAAGATGTTTATTGGGGGTGGTACTGAAATTGATCTTTGTAGATTTAGGGTTGTTTGCTGAGTGTCCCCTGAATACTCCGTAATTGTGTTCTGCATTGATTCCTTTTCCTTCTAATGAATTTTCTTTTTCTATTATCAAAAGAAAATGTTTGATGCTTTAAATAAACAGAGTTGCCAATTTGTACTTCATGACAGCAATGGGAAAGCTTATTTTCCTGATTTCTTTTTTTTATCAATAACTTCTAAAATCATATATAGTAATGCATGGTATGTACAGCTTATCTTTTGAGTATTTATCCAGCATTGAAATAACAATACATGTATAATGTAAAACATGATGGTATCACTCTCAAGAACTGCATAATGTAATTTAACGGATATTTTGCTCCCATTGCCATGAACAAGAATGAAACTAACTCACCTGTTCCCACAGTTTTTGAGGCCAAAAGGCTGCAGTTCCATCTTGTCATGATAGAGTTTGACAAATTGTTCATATGGAAAGATCATCTGTAAGAACAGAGATAAACAAACAAAGAATGTTACTAAGTCATTAGGAAACAAATACTTATGCAATAAAATAATACAGCATGAGTCAATTGAATACCTTGCAGTTGTACTTTCCACCTTTCTCGGTTCCCAATGGGTTGGATATCAAAATCTTAGATGCCCTAAATTGCTGAACAACTTTCTGAACAGATGTTTTCAAGCCATTATTAGCATTTGATGATCGTGAAACCTCAGATAAAGCAGTGCGTGCTGTGTGAATGCCATCAACCTTTGTGGATTTCATAGAAAGCCCTCCCGTTTTAGAATATGGAAGATAAGATCCATTGTCTACAGACTTCAATACCTGTGAATCCTTGCCTCTGGCATTAACCATGGATTCTGATCTTTCATGTATCAGGGTTTTTGGGATACTATTCCCAGATACATCTGTGACTATCTTCTCTGCAAGAGAATCTCCACAGGCAGGAATTCCATTCCCCAAGCCCGTCTGAGAAGCAACACCATCCTTGGGCTTGGAAAATTGTGAGAGTGAAGAAGGAATGGTATGCCTAAGGTTCTTAACTGAGAATTTTAAAGGATAATCAGAACCAGACGAGATGCTATCCCCACCTTCAGTGTCACGTGAATGAGCAGAATTATCACAGACATCATAGCTAGATCCACTTGACTCCACAGTTCCTTCCCAGAAATCAGAAGAGGCTGTAGAAGACTCAGAAGTTGTACTCTCATCAGAGCCATTGATGCTTGAACCTGAAGAATCAGTTGAGCTTGGGCCCGAAGGACAAGTTGATGTACTGTGAACCTCACCATCACTACAACTCGGTTCCCTCTGCTTTAATTTACTTGAACAAGAAAAACTATTTAGAGAATCAACCAAATTATTGAACTCTGAAGATCGTGATTCAATTAGCTTCCTGTCATTAACATCAGTGGTTGTCTCAGCAGCAGTGGTATCATCAGGTTGAAGTACTTCTGATCTGTCAGGAGAAATTGAATTAGGGATCTTGCCAGCAGAAACATCAACTGATGATTTATCCACGCCAGTGGATGCAGAAAATCCATCCAACAATGAGGTAGAAGATTCAGAAATGGCATCCATTCTTTTGGTATTAACCAGTGGCTCAACTTTATCATCATGCTTCTCACACCGGACTTCTGAAAAGGAACCAAATTTGGATGATGTAGGTTTCTCAGGTGACATTTTAACTGGTTGAGCATTGCATATGCCTTCTTTCCCAGTATCATCATGGCAAATTTCATGCTGTTCTCCTTGCAATACTACCTTCTGACCAGAGTCAGAGTCACCTCCCTTGTCACTGAACTGGTGAGTAGCATACAGAAGTTGGCATTCATCCTTGTGACCTTGTCTCCAGTGGATGATTTGACACTTACCAGAACTGCAAGAATGTACATCAAAGATCAAACCTGAATGAATAGACTCAAAGAATCTAAAGAGAGGCCAGAATAAACAGCTATTTGATTGTATTTATGGGGTTCTTTAACAATAAGTTGCATGCTAGTATTTTTATTGAAAAAAACAAAACTCCAAAAACTAATAGAGATATCAACTTGACCAAGTAGAATGCATCCAAAACAATCTCTACTAACCGCTGCATAACTATCTTCATAATGGAAAGGGATCCAAAGAGTTCTCTAAAATTTAGTTCTTAAATGTTATGTGCCAAGACAATAACAACTAACTTCACTAGTGCTCCGGGAGTACCTACCATGTTGATATGCAACATTAATTTATTAATTTTCTTTTGTAAGAGAGACGAAGTTTTGTTTCTTGTACCATTTATACACTCTTTTTTCTTCAACAAAAAAAGAAATTGATTTGTTTCTGACAAGGGAAAAACACAGAGAGAGACAAAGCTTTGTTAAAAATCTTCACCTACTAGTATCATTTGGCTCTGACTTATTAAAGAAGACCACAGTTTTCAAGGCACCAAGGCGAGGCTAGGCGACAGGGGGAGCACCTTGTCACCTAGTCGCCTAGCCGCCTAGGCGATGGATTTTTTTATGTAAAAAACACAGATCCTAGGGTAGTTCCCTAGGTACCATAACCATATTTAAGAAGAAGTAGAAGAAGAAGATTAGACAAAATTTTAAGTTCTTTTAAGTTCTTCCTTACTTATTGGTTCAGGTTTTGAAGTCTTTGAGGGTTCAATACAGCATTTTGCAATGTTTGTTATTAAACCCTAACAAATAAGAAAATAATAAAAAGAAATTAGTATATAAACACACAAAATGAAATTTTAGTTTAATAATGTCTATTTTATAGTTATAATCTCAAAAAATAAAGAGACAGATGCATCTATTTTTAATTATAAACATTGCTAAAGCAGTACAGAACTGCTTGGTGATTAGGCGAGGGCCTTGTCGCCTAGGCGCCCGACTAGGTGTCACCTTGACAACTATGGAAGAGACAAATGCATCTATTTTTAACGAAGTCAGCAACTTCAACCCAAATGAAGCATTTTTTTAAGGAAGTTAATAGGTATAGAATACTTGGATGTAAGGACCAGCTCAATCCCAGTCCTTCCATAAAAAATTATGGCTCTTGATGACTGCAATGGCTTCTTGAAAGAATAAGGAAGAAAATAGAGAGAGAAAGAAGAGAGAATACCCGGCCCGAGGTACCTAGAATCTCTCTAGGGTATGGGAATCACTCGCCATAATTAGTATAAGCTCAAAAAAACCCAATAAATTTCATTGATCTTTGTGTAAAATGTCAATACATATTTATAAATTGTAGACTCTTAAGAATCCTCATAGGACTCAAAACAAAACTGTAAGACTCATAAGAATCCTAGTAGCACTCAAACTGAATTGCCACTATCCTATTTCAATTCAAAGAAGACCAATAAATCTTATATACTTATTCAATGACTCTAAAACATTAAAAATAAACAAACTATAACAAGATAAATTAGACCATATCATTGGAACCCACCAAAATTGTGAAATGACAAAAATAACCCTACTCCTACTGTGCTAAACTACCCTTGGTTCTTCAATAAACTCTAGGATTTCTTATGTTGTTGATGTTGGTGGAAATGGAACTTCTGCCATGTTGGCTTGTAATTCTTGAATTGGTTCCAGTTGAACTTGTAACTTGTAAGGTAAAGTCATGACTTACTTCCTTACTAAGATTTACTACAACCAGCATATTTGTATCTTGCACCTGAATTTCTTCAACTTGCTCCACCTCTATCTCTTCTTAATCATTAACCTCAAGCTGATCACGGGTGTTGGAAACTCCTTCAACAATTTCTATCTCTTCTTGTCCCGCACCCTCTTGATCTTCAATGTCTATAGCTTCTATAGGTTAAAATTCTGGTTCTTTATCTTCATTCTCAACTTTAGCTCTAGAATAGGCACAAACATGTAAGGAATCATTTGCTTTATCTTAAACTTTATAGCTTCTTCCCATTTGCTTCAAATTCCTTGTTGTAACTTGTTGCTTCTTCTCTACCTTAAGAACCCATTCAAAAGCATGATCTAGGTCATAAATTTGAACTGTAGACAATTACTTATTGATCAGCCTCCTATTAAATTAACTTTTTTGAATGACCCTCTACACCTTTTAGATTTGAAAATATGTTGTTAATCCATCACGATTTTGTGCATTAAGTGGAGTGGTGAAATGAAGAAATTTGAGGGGTGAAGTGGAAGGGAGTGAAAATTCATTACAATTGAAGAGGGTGACGTTAAAAACAAAGGAGTGTGAATAGGGATAACTTTGGGAGAGCAGAGGAACAGAAGATTAATTTGATGTCTCAAATTGAGAAATAGGATGAAAAGGAAAAGCAAGGGAACAAGTAAATAGAGGGTTAAGATTGAGACTTAAGAAGGAGCTAGAAGAAGTTGTACTTAGGGAAGAGATTTTCTAGAGACAGAAATCAAGATACAAATAAATTAAGGGAATGGGAATTCTTTCATGCCTTGGCTAATGATAGAATGTGCAAAATCTTTGTGGCTAAATTGGATGTTCATGGGATTGTGATATTGAATTAAGAAGAGATAGCCCCTTTGTGGATCACTTCAAATAAACCCCTAAATGCAAGGGAGAGAGTGGAAGACCTTGGTTGACCAACCTTGGGTAATGAGGAAATGAGATGGTTGGAAAGGAATTTTGAAGAATAAGAAGATTTTTATCACCATTTAAGACTTTAACATAGCTTTTTATCAGGATTGTTGGGATTTTTTTTTTTTGATAAATGATTGTTCAGATGTGTTGAAAGATGATTTATAGGAGATTTTAAATGAATTTGCTGATAAGCATTTCATCATCCTAGGGATTAATGCCACATTTTATCTTTGATCCTGAACAACCCTAATTCTAGTCATCCTTAGGATTTTAGGCCCATTAGTTTGACTAGTATATACAAAATAATTGCCAAGGTCATGTTGCTGAGGATTAAGGTACTATTCCCATACATTATCAATCAAGGTGTAAATGTTTTGCGTGCAAGTTGGAAAGATGTAGTTTCGGGGAAAGATGGTGCAACTAGCTAAGCGGATGTTTAAAATCTTGTCATTATCCCATTTTGGTCAATGAGGTGGTGAAGGATTCTTTTCCAACTTGCAAGAGCTTAGGCAAGAGGACCTACTATCACCCTTTCTACTTACCTTAGTAACTGATGCTTTTTGCAAGCTTATCTCCAAGGCTGATGAGGATGAGATTAGGGGTTTGAGAGTAGGTACAAATGACATTCTAGTTACCTTTTTTTTCTTTTTTTGAGAGAAGATAACTGAATTCATTAAGTAAATTCTAGTTACCTTCAATTTGCAAGTGATATAATTTATCTTTTGTGAAGAGAGAGATACTAGGATGGTATGGAATTTAAAAGGTTTGGTATAAGTTTGAAAATGTTTCAAATTTGAACATCAAATATGATAAGAGTTACAAACAAGAATTAACTTGGAGGATAGGGAATTATAATCTACAGTGGCCTGTCAAGAATGCTCAACAACCATTTGGCCAATGACATATTTGGGTCTTCCTTTAGGTGCAAGCCTCAAGGAAAGCATGTTTTGGAATCCGATTTTAGAGAGGTATGCTAAGAGACTAGCTTTGTAGAAGAGGTACTACATTTCACCAAGAGGTAGGATTACACTGATAAAATCTGCACTTGGTAACCTGTCAATATACTATCTCTTAATATTCTGGATTCCCCAAAGGGGGGCTGAGAAGATATAGAACGTCATGAGGGATTTCTTATGGGAGCCGGGAGAAGGGAACAAAGATCATCTAGTCAACTACGTATCGGTAATATTGAAAAGAAGAATATAGCTCTATTAAGGAAATGGCTTTGAAGGTGACATGAGGTTGTGGCAAGCGTTCATGGTTGGTTGGGTGGTGGATGGGATGCAAGTGTATCACATCGGGCTACTTGGCTTCACCCTGGAAGGTTATTCATGGTATTCTTCTACACTTTCTCAATTTTATCAGGTATGATGTGCATTCTAGACTTCTAGTGACTCTGCCCAATTTTGGGAGGATGTTTGGGTTGGCAATTCTACTCTTAAGGATCTTTTCCCCTCTTTGTACTCTGTTCACCTGCAATCAAAGCCTTGAGAAAAGACTTAGAAGAGAAGTTGCCATTTGGGTGAAGGGTCCAGATTCTTGAGTCAGGGGAGTAGGGTGAGATGTAAACCTCCTTAAGAGCTTGAAGAAAGCCTGCTACATCAATTACCTCTAAGGCTCTTAAAAGGTCTTCTAAGGCTTAAGTTTATGGTATTCTCAAATGGAGAGGAAGGAAGACAAGAAGAAATGGTTGCTTATTGGTCTAAGGTTAGGTTATAGAGTGTAGGAAAAGAAGCAGCTAGGGTAGAATTGCCCCACCAAAGGTCTTTCCAAAACTTAACCTTGCAACCATTACTTCTACTGCAAGTAGAAGTAATACCTTTCCAAGGGTTCATTGATTTTACCCAGTTCAAATGGAGATTGATATCCCAACCTGTAGCACTTGACCCATACTTTCTGGTGTTGATGTTAGTTGCCCACAAAAAAAAAATTAGATTCTTTAGGAAATCTCCAAAGCCATTTTCCCAGCGGTGATAGAGGATATATTGGCCAAGCAAGGGGTTTATAGGGGTCAATTATTTTGGGCTGAATTGTAAATTGTACTGTGTTTTCATGGGAGAGGTGGTAGCTCATGCCTCTCCAAGGGATACCTGTAATACCTTTTTCTTCTGATCAATAGAATTCTACTTATCAAAAAAAAAAAAGAGTTAAGAAACTGTAGAGCGAGGAAGCTATGATTCTTATGAATAGCTTTTATTAGGTCTTCATTATTAATGAGGGCAGGGGCAGGGGCAGGGGCAGTCAGTCATATATGGACCCTTGATCCTAATGGAATTTTCTCCCCTTCATGATTCAACCTTTTGCCTTTTGCAAGGTTTTACACTAGGAATAGCAAGCCTTTGTCCTTTACCCATGAGGAACTTTAGAGGCTCTTGCTCCATCATATATACATGTTTTTATCTGGGGAGTAACTCATTGAGAAATTACGATTTGTGAGATACTACAAAAAAAAAAGGATACTTCGTGGTTGCCCATGGAGAGAGAATGAACTGAACTACTTTTTATTCATGGTAGTTTTGAATCTTAAATAAATTGTTTGGTCCCAAAATTCTGTTCATCAAGAAGTTCCTTAAGTTTTGGGTGGTAGCTTGTGAAGCTCAAGCTTGGCTCTAGAGATCTCTCAAAATACTGAACAGTTTTCCTTTGTATAAGTCTCAGTAGGTTGATCCTGCAAATCTGCAAACCTAAAGCTTGGCAGTGATAATTGAGGTTTCAAGCCAGATAATAAGTTTATGAATTATGATATCAGTTAAATTTCCCTTGTTACTTGTTTTTCCCGTTTTGGTTTTCCACTACCCAATAAAAAGAGTTAGCATCACTGCCCTTGCCCTAAAGGACCATCTGCAACAGCCGCCCAATTTATTTTTGCCAAAATTATCTATGCAGTCAGTCTCTAATCAAATTCTAGTCGATGAACCGCAATTACACTAATAAAAATGTACGAAATGTAAACAAGCACATAATTTCAACAATTCTACGAGCAGAATTTGGAGAACAAAGGGTTTATAACGATACCAGCCCAAATGAAAACCCTAAAACCATGGCTACATATTCCAATTGGGATAGAAGATGTAGAATCAACACACCAGTACCGAACGGCCTTGCATTGAGCACAGCGCGTAGTGGTCGGACAATAACAAACAGCACACAGTGATTGACGAGCAGAAACAGAGATGGCGCCGTATTCAACAGCTGCCTCGAGCGCGGCCCTTTCTTCCTGTTCGGAAGCCAACTCCATGAGTCTCCTGATCTCCTCCTGCCTGGCCACCGCAATCCTCCATTTCCGACGGATTACGAAGCCGAAAATCGGAGTGAAGAAAAAGAAGAGCAGGACCAGGTACGAAAACCCTAGATCCCCGGGAACAAGCATTTATCCGGCACCCGATATGCATCCAGAACGCTCAACCGTAATTCTCCGGTTCTTACCACACCACATAAAGATTCGGTGGCGATGGCGGTGGCTCTTCTTCTGCGTGCAAATGATGATCAGAAGATCAGTGGTGTCTCACGATGTGAGCCATCGATGATTGACGGTGACGCATCATGATTCGGTAATGATGTTGGTGGTTTTAGGAAAGATCGAGGATGGTGAGGTGAGAGCAGAGCGTCCGTTTTGGAGAGATAGAGAGAGAAGGAACAACAGTATTGAGAGTTTGTCTGTAGTACACAAGTACCGGCGATGGAGGTCGTGACACAGCAAAATCTGCACATCCGTAGTTCGTTCCTCTGCCTCAATTTTTTAGATAATGAGAGAGAGAGAGAGAGAGAGAGGAACCGCCCACGGATGAAGACAGAGACTGATTTGTTTTTTTTTGTTTCATTTTCAGTATTTTTATATTTATTTCTTATTAAAAAATAAAAAATGAGAGTGGCGATTGGAGGAAAGGAATTTTGAGGTGTGGGAGAAGCGTGAATTCTTCGCTCACCAAATATTCGGCCTTTTGGTCGCACGGACCACTCAACCAACGTTTGGTCGAACCGGCCGACCAAGTGAATAGGGAATAGGAAGGAAGTTGCGTTACATTTTCGAGACGACCATTGCCCTGATGTCCCTATTTGTCTCTGCTCAGGAAAATGCTGGCTGTAGTTCAGTGTTGACGGTTGACGCGAGTCTTACACGCAAAGGGCTGAAATTGGTGAGCCTAAAATGCCACGTGGTAAAAGGTTTTACACCAGAAGACGTGTAATGTAAGTAGCAAAAGTTAGCCGAAAGATCCATGCATTGTATTTTACTCTTCGCTTAGAAGATAATTGGAAGACGAACCGATTAATCGTAGGGTTGCAGTGCTTTCTTGGCTGCCAACCCAACTACTACTCTGATGGAGATGTATTACTCACCAATCACCATACGCTGCTGCAGCCTCTCTTGTCCTGAACCATGAATTAAGTAATGACCCTAATGACTGATGGCCGGTCGAGTTGGCGGTGATGTGTTGCCGGCCGAGAAGACGAGAAACCTGAAGCCCGCGCAATTGAATGAACCATGGATTGGATTTTTTTTGGGGGGAAATTTTCTAAAATCCACCATCGGTTTTTCCAAATTCTCTTAAATCCACCGTAACTTTCTGAAATATAAAAATTCACCATGTCAATGAGATTTTATTTTCTAAAACTTATTATCCGTTACACCACCGTTAAAGCTGAATGACCTAAATTGTCCACGTCAACCTAAATGAATATTTTATGACTAAACTGCCCCTAAGTGGTGACTCACCCTGTTAAACAATATTTTTTTACCGAAATGACCTTAGGCGCCCAAAATGGCACAGCAAGCCGAATGAGCAGAGTGTCGAGACTGGAGAGTGTACTCTGAGCAAGAGAGAGAGAAAGAGAGAGGAGAAATCATGTCTGGTTCTCTTTCCTTCCTTCACAGTGCGTTCGCTTCTTCACAACAACTCACTCTTGGACCCAAATTCGTAGCAGCGAAAGCAAGTCCATCCCTGGTTATTGAAGCAAAGGCCACAGCGAAAGCAGCTGTAGTTGGACAGGGGTTCGTCGCTATAAATATAAAGGTTCGCAACACTGCAGGAGCAATCAAGCACCAGGCAGTGGCGGTTCGGAATGGAGCAGACATGTCGACCTTCTACAGTTGCAGTTTCGAAGGCTACCAGGATACCTTATACACCCATTCCCTCAGGCAGTTCTACAGGGAATGTGATATATATGGAACTGTGGACTTCATATTCGGAAATGCTGCCGCTGTTTTCCAAGACTGCAACATATATGCTCGGCTGCCGATGCAAGGCCAGTTCAATGTTCTCACGGCCCAAGGCAGAACAGACCCAAATCTGAACACCGGAATTCCCATTCACAACTGTTAAATTATGGCAGCTCCAGGCTTGGCTTCTAGCAATGGCACCACAAGATCTTATCTGGGGCGGCCATGGAAAGAATACTCCAGGGCTGTGTATATGCAATCTTTCATTGATAGTTTTATAGATCCCACTGGTTGGAGAGAATGGTCAGGTGACTTTGCACTGAGCACGCTCTACTACGCAGAATACAGCAATACAGGACCCAGATCAGTGACAATAGACAGAGTTGCTTGGGCCGGTTACCATGAGATAGATGACACAGACGCAGCCGATTTCACTGTCTCTAATTTTGTAGTAGGTGACTATTGGTTACCTCCCACAGGAGTTCTTCAATCTCAAACAAAAGGGAAGCAGCGGCTGAAGGAGGAAGAAAGCAGCGGCTAATGTTTGGGTTTCGGGTTGAATAACGACGGGGGTAATTTTGGTATTGCAAAATGGACTGAAAAAATAAAGGGTAAAATGGTAAATTAATGATATCCGTTAGTGAAGTTACTATTATCTTACTAAGATGAGTTTTTTACGTTTTGGAAAGTTGTGATGGGTTTTAAGAGATTTCGGAGAAACTGATGGTGGGTTTTGGACAATTTTTCTTTCTTTTTTTTTTTTTTTTTGCCAAAAAAAACAATAGGGAGCAAGAGCAATCAATCGTTTGCAGCACTTGCGTAGAAAAAAAAAATTCCAATGCGAAAATTTTCGCGTCAGGCAGCAATATTGGATATTAGTCGCCTATGGAAACTTGTTATCAGTTATCACGCATCTGATTCAGGTCCGGCAGGCCGAAAGGTGTTTTGCTGTTTGCAAGAGTCAGGCGTAGTTTTAGACAGAATATTGCACGTTATTATCTCCCGATTCGCTATCATTTACTTGAGTTAGTTGTTGATTTCCACGCACTTGGAGAAAACTTTGCACCCAAAATGGTTTTTCTTCAAGCTGTTTGTTTTTTGTTCTCTGAGAACATATTTTATATTTTTATCGGAAAAGAATGAGGAAACAAAAAAAAAAGTGGCTTTTGATTGATAGTTTGAAAAATGGGTATGGGAGAAGAATCATCAATTGGGGAGGAAAAAAGTTGATGACTGACTGACTGTTGAGGTATAACTTACAGACAAGAGTTTGGCGAGCACTTTAAGAAAGGCAAGTAAAGTTGAAAAGGGAACAGACAGATGAGAAAATAAATGAGATTTCCCACATTTGGTTCGTAGAAGAGAATTAGGTCATCCAAAAGCTCTGTTTTTTTCTCAAGTTTAGTCGATGAAAATCCTGTAAACACGTCATTACCATGTGAATACAATGTGAATGACGCGAAAATGCACGAGCGGTAGAGGGGGAATTTGGCTTGCAAGTTGCAACAATTTCGGGTAAAATACACCTCGGCCCCATGTATTTGTTCCCTTAGTCTATTTTAAAATGAGTTCACATCTCCGCCCCACAACGCCCTATATTGGAAATATTTTTCGATGATGATATCATCAAAATTGGTACTATCATCGTCAGGAGATGTTCTCGATACATGGCGGGAATGTGTTGTGGGGCGGAGATGTGAATTCCTTTAAATTAACCGTTTTTTATATTATGACCATTGAACTAAGTCATGCCCACCCAAACACAGCTTTAAGTGCCTGTTTGGGAAGGCTTTAAGGATGTGGTTTCTGATGGTGGTAAAAATTGGGAAAGCCGATAAGACCACTTGAGCCCTGTTTGGCAATATTTTTATTTGTTTTTGTTCATTTAGAAATTCCTATGTTAGAATAAGAATTTTATTTCTTGCTCTGCAGGAATACTATAGGCATTTGACAAATTGTTCTTCAAGAAGAGATTTTTGTTCTACTGAAATAAAAGCGATGTTTGAATATAAAAACTATTTCTTAAGGAATCCCCAATTTTTAGCCTATCTTCCTCTTAGATAAGGGAAAATTATGTCACTACAACAAATCAATGCAACACAAACAATGGCAACATATTTTTATACATTTTTACAAAGAAATAAACATGGTTCTAAAAAAAATTAGACAAGAAAGACATGGTTCGGGAATACTGAAAAAGGTCGCCCATAAACACATTTCTACATAGAAATAAACATGAAATTTACAACCTCCAACTCCAAGCTCAACCGAATGAAGTTTGGGACTAGAGCTTGGAGTTGGGAGGTTGTAAATTTCATGCGAAATAACAACATTGCCGCTTTTCTCATGTGAGAGCACTGTGCACGTGTTTGTAAATCCTTTACGATGTTGTGGGAACCGGGCGTTCCCTGAAAATGTGTTCTTTGAGAGTGTCAATTTCTCCCTCTCAAAGAATACTTTTTCTTTTTCTTTCTTTCCCTTTTTTTTGCTAATGTTCTCACTTGGGAATGACTTATTTCTTGCATTTTTTTTTGTCAAACATGTTTCTGTAAAACAAAAACATCAGGAATGAAAGAAACACTCTCACAAAACATTGCCAAACAGGGCCCTGACTTCTTTAAAACACTGGTGCTCAAACACCGTGGCTGAATCAATGCACGTGCACCTTACTTCCAACGCAGAAACCCTCTCAAATAGGTCAGAATGCAGCTTTTGACATTCCGAGCTGGGTCTCAAATGGAACTCACACAAACTGTAAAATGTATTTGGTGAAAATCCAAAAAGTCAATATTGGTCTTCAAGTAATTTGTTCAGAACACGAATACTCAACGACCACAACTCAATCAAAGCAATTCACCTCTAACATATAAGCGTCCCAAACGGGCTCTAAATTTAGGCTGAAAGATAAAGGATGAACCAAGCTAGGTCAGCTCATTTACCGCCCTGTCTTCTGTGAATATTTGTTTGTCAAAATATTTTCCAGCCGTGTGTTGTTGAATGTTGAATTAAAGTTTGTAGAGTCAAGGTTTCAAGTAGCTAGACGAATTAATTGAATATGCACTTTGACCGTTCATTGGCAGTTACATATATAGTCAAAACCACGATCGCATCCACAAATGTTTTCCTTGATTTGGGAGCCGGGAGGGGTGCAAACCTCAAAAGACTAGCTTAGGCCAGCCATACTAAGCCCAGGCCCAACTTGTTTAATTAATGGGCCTTATAGCTGCATGCATATCCGACGGTGACCCATGGGCCGTCAAGTGAAGGATTGAGAAATAATTCCTTATCAAGGGGAGAATTTGCACTATATCAACAGCTATATATTTTTTGGGTGAATTACAATGAGGCACGCATTTTTCGTAAGATTTTGTCATAGCTTGGTAAGACCCATTTCTTTTGTTTTGCCTTTTTTGCCAAACAAAATAAAAAATCTGAAATAAATGAGAGCTTCTTTTTAGTAGAAATAAACTAAAGGTGGCTTTCCTTTATTATCTTAAAATAGATAAAGTAGGACTAGATTTCGTTCAATCCAATCCAGTCCAATATGAGTCCATTACAAATGGATCAGGTCCAATTCAATTCAATGTCTGAATTATCCAATCTGTTCAAATTGATTTTAATTTAGATTAGTTCCAATCCAAACTTGGTCCATTGACACCTGTATTCTTATTTTATGTTAATGGATCGGATATCAGTTCAACCTAACCCAATATCCAATATAAATCTATTATAAATGAATCAAGAATCCAATATATACTTTGTGCCATTATGTCTGGAGTGCTCCAATTCAATAATACATATGTATTATTGGTAATTTGTCCAAATTAATTTTGATTTGGATGGATCCAACCCAAAACAATTCTACTGGCATCCCTAATATTACACCATAGGCCAGTGGATTGATCCATCAGCTGGACTACCGAGGGGAGTTAATTGGTTGGGCTGGGTGCAATTGAAGATCAAACTACCAACCACCCAAACCCATTATGGCCCACGTATGTATACAATTGTAGAACTAGAGATCGAACCTACCCCCCCCCCCCCCMCGGGCCCCACCTTCCTAATAAAAAAATTAAAAATCCATTTAAGCTTTATACAAGGTTTTACACTGAACGTATCCATTTAAGGTTTTACACTGTACGTATCCATTTAGTGTAGGGGTGGCAATTTCTTAACCATTGCAATCCATCCAATTCATTCATTTACAACTTATCCATTTAATGTATGGATGGAACATGGGTGGAGCAACCCAATGAGCCAATTACAAATGGATGAGTTCGGTTGGATTATGGTTGTCCATTTAGGCGGGGATGCGGAGATCTCCCACTTGTACTATGCAAATACAAGGTTTAAAATTTTCATATAAGGTTATGTATTTACACTCTTTTCAAACTGAGCCTAGGTTGAAATATTCAAATGGGTCAATATATGTGGATTAGGTAGGGGAACAATTTGGGTTAGCCCAATTGGCATTCTACACTGCTCAGAGTTTGGGCCTTTGGATTGGTTCTATTCAAATTTTGACAAAATTTCAACCCAAGCCCACCTAAGTTGTACACCTTTTTTTTTATTTTTTTTTATAAATAGTTGCACACCTAGGATTAGGTTTGTATTTGTACTCTTTCCAACCCCTATATTGGGAAAGAGCACAAATACAGATATGTACAGTACAAATGTATACAAAATATAAGGTTTTGCACTTGCATATTTGTATTTGTACTCCTTCCAAACTGAGTATAAGGCTCAGTTTAGGAGTACAAGAGTGCAAAACCTTGTATTTTGTATTATTTTCTATGTATTTTGCACAGTACATATTTATATTTGTACTTTTTTCAAACTAAGCCTCAAGAGTACAGATGCAAATATGTACTGTATAAATACATATAAAATAATACAAAATATAAAATTTTGCACTCTACATAATTGCATTTGTACTCTTCAGTACATATTTGTATTTATACTCCTTCCAAACTGAGCCTAAGAGTACAGATGCAAATATATACTGTACAAATACATATAAAATAATATAAAATATAAAATTTTGCATTCTACATATTTGCATTTATACTCCTTCCAAATTGAGCCTAAGGCTTAATTTGAAAAGAGTACAAATACAAATATGTACAGTACAAATACATATAAAACAATATAAAATATAAGGTTTTGCACCCTACATATTTCTATTTGTACTCCTTCCAAATTAAGCCTAAGTGACAGGTGAATTAGTCCATTTGAGTTGAACACGTCAGATCGTACGTTCAAGATATCTGACCCCTTAGATCCGAATAACATGGCAAAGAGAAATAGAGAGAATAAGAAGATTAAAAAAAGAAAAAAAATAAGGAACAATGGAGGAAGAAGAGATAACTCTCAACCACTATTCTTGGATATTCCTATCATCCCTACTGAACACGGACATGCATCCTCTGCGGTCATCCAAAATTGTCTTACTAGAGGACATTTAATAAAAATATGATATGATTTCATCCTCCATTGGTTCAATACAGCTCGAACAATGACGCATAATATTCGAGTCCTCTATTATGTAGGAATTTTTTACTGGTTACCTACCATTAATAAGAAGTCAAAGGAAAATTCTTATTTTTTGATATTATTAAATTTTTCAAAAAATC